TTTATAATTTTGTATATATTAAATTATAATTTTTAATAAATGTAGTATATAGTACTGTACTGGATCATAAATAAAAAATAAAAAGTGATTCTATTATGGGAGAGCCAAGAATCACTATAGTCAACGAACGAAGCCAGGACAACTAAGATCTGTAAATGAAACTTACCCGAAGCCTTAGAAGGCATACAAGTCACAGAATCATAAAAGATCTTATAGTAAGGTCCAAGCTTGATGAGTCTAAAGTATTAAAAAGAAATGTGCTGTAAACTGCCATATAAAAGATCTGGGTCTCTTACATTCTACCAATTTAATACCTATAGTAGATCCTGGGTCTAGTACATGGCTGTTTATGACAGGCAATCTAAATTTTTGAAGGAAACAGTATTTGGGTAGATCCTGTGATTTAACCCTGGTCTATCTTTTTGGGTGGTTTTTTTTAAAAAAGATGACAATCGATTTTTTTTTATATAATCAATTTGCAACATTAATAAAATTAATTATTGCGCTTTGCAAAAAGATGTGAACACTGCAGATCATTTTTTCATGTGAGAATCGGAGATTTTGCGATTTCAAAGAATCATAAAGATTTTAAATCTATGTACTTAAAATGTAATGCTTTATTAAATTACAAATAAAGTTTCTAACAACCGTATTACTTTCTTTCATATTCTTATTATGGTTTCTGCATATAGTAATGACTTGAAATAGCATATAATTTTTTTACACTATGATAACTATTCAATATTTCAAATTGCAAAACTTCTAATATTAGTAAAAGCTTGGTGTATAAAGTGTTGAGAATATATAAAAAATGGGGAACTGTAACTAATACTTGGCGACAAGTACCTCGACGGCATAAAACTTTTAATCGAAGTGATATGAAGGTAGTATGAGATTTTTTTATTGAATTGTATTTATATTACTGCATATTAATTTTGTTAAATAATAGATCCTACGAAATATTATTCAAGAAAATGTGAGCTTATATCTTGATGAAATTGCATTGCAAATAGAAATTCGATCAGGCAAAAAAGTCTCAATTTCTACTCTGTGGCGTTCATTGGCATATTGTGGAATATCACGAAAAAAAGTATTATTTTTTTTTATATAATCAGTACAAGCACAGTGTAAAGTAATATAATCTTCAAAATTTTTATTTTAGCTACATAAAGTAGCCAAAGAGCGTAACGAACTACTTCATAGTGCCTTTATGGCACACATCAGTTCCCAATACAGCAATACAAAAGAGAGCAATTAGTTTTTTTAGACAAATCATCAAAAGATGAATGAACTATTGTTAGAGCATATGGATATTCACAAATAAATACTAAAGCTGTTAAAAAAAATAGTATTTCTTCGTGGTAAGCGGTATACAATCTTGCCCGCACTTACTTTAGATAGCATTATTGCTGTTGATATTATAGAAAACAGTTGTACAAAGTTGAAATTTAAAGAATTTGTAATTACTCAAGTGGTATGTAATTATAATAAAAGTATTTATTTATACAAATCATAAATATATTTTTAATTGTTTTTTAGCTACCACAAATGAATACATTCCTATATACAAGAAGTGTTTTAATACTTGATAATACTAGAATACATCATGATGACGGATTGTTAGAATATTTAAATACATTCAGTGTACGTGTAGAGTTCCTTCCTCCATATTTTCCCGATCTCAATCCGATAGAATTAGCTTTCTCAACTTTAAAAAGTTTTTTAAAAAAACATCAGTATTTTGTAAAAAGTTGTTTGGATCCAAAATATCTATTATTGGTTGCATGCTCCCAAATTACCTCTGAATTTTCTAATAATTTTTTTAATGTGGTGGGTTATAAGTAAAGGTTTTTTCTATAGAAAATGTATTGTTTACTGATATAAAATATATATTGTATCTTGTGGCTTAATCGCGAAGAGTTTGCTGTACACCAATTGTATCTATATCACATTTTTCAAAGTCTTCATTCGATAGTTTAGAAAGCAATCGTATAGAGATCTTCTGTTGTTGAAATTTTAATAAAAATCCTTGATAATAATTTCCAGTGCCTTCGCATTCATCAATATGCTTTAAAAAATCTTCAAGTGTAGGTTTAAAACTTGGTTATAAAGATGGCTGAATAGGTGCTTGAAAAGATGTTCCATGAAATTGCGACGGAAAATATGATACGAATAGACTGTAAATTGACGATGGAATATAGAATTGTCCTGGATATATTTGATGTTGAAAAAAATTTGGCTGTTGTATTAAATTAGATTGTAATAGGGATATTGCTTGTAATGGTACCAAAGGTGAAGGAATTTGTAATGGTGCTGATGGTGAAGTAGCTTGTAATAGTGCTGATGGTGATGTAGCTTGTAGTGATGCTGAAGGCAAAGATATTTGTAATGGTGCTGAAGATGGAGTAACATGTAATGGTGCTAATGGTGAAGATGCTTGTAATGTTAAAGATGAAGAAGCTTGTAATAATGATGATGGCGAAGATTCTTGTAATAATTCTGAAGGTGATGGTATTAAAGGTTGTCTTTTTTTGACTGATGTTTATATGCGAATATTGGATGTGTAGATGGTTCAGTTGGTGATGCCATCACTTTATTCTTTATATAAAATTAAAAAATATATAAAGTTATTTTCTTGCGAATTCATAATGGTTGAAGAAAATATGTAATAAAAGCGGTAAAAGTTGATTCAAATTTAATGAATAAAAAAAAGCATGTGACAATAAAAAATTGGTTTAATTTTTTTTACAATTTCAGATGCCCAAATTGAAAGCATCATGAACGTGATTTCGATATGGTTTTTTTTATCACTATCCTTATTTAAACAAGGTCGGTTATGAATAAGATAATGATTTTTTTTACGAATTTCTAAAATGTTTTTTGCTATTAAGGATTCATTTGGAGATAAATTCGAAGCTTTAGGAATAGAATTCTTGTTTTTAAAATTCGTAATAGTATCATTATCTGAATTTTCGTCTGACTCAAGATCCTAATTATATAGATATATATTATCATTATTATTATTTATATATTACACTATAAACTCACAAAAAAGATCATAATTACATTAATAAAAGTTACAAAAAAAGCTATATTGATATTTTTAGAAGTATATTTCCAGTAATCAGCTTGGACCTTTTTGAAGTCATGATCATCTACTAATTGAGTACCTGCTCCCATTGCCTTTTCAGGTTTAAATATAATATGATAATGACTTGATTCGATCGATCTTCTTTTTGTCAAGGTTTCAATATTTATGTGAAGTTCTGAAAGCAATTCATCAATTGTTGATACCTTGGATGTATACCATTTGGCGGGAATAGTTGTACTATTTGCTAACTTAATAAAAATCTCATAATTATACTCGTATTCACTATCTCATCAGATAAAGATTCATTGTTATTATGTTCATTATTTCTATCATCAGTAAACTCCCATCTCCTTTCTTCAAATTCGTTAGGTTTATCTTCTGGAGTAGTAAGATCATATGATTCAATTTCTGAAAAACTTGCTATTTTAAATTAATGAAAGATAACTTAATTTTCTATTCAATAATTACGGACATATGGTCAAATTTTTTTGGCTTT